CAATCGCAAAGCGCAATCGCAAAGCGCAATCGCAAAGCGCAATCGCAAAGCGCAACCGCAAACAGACAAACCACGAACGCAAACACAAACACACAACCGCGAACGCAATCACAAACCCTAGCGCAAACAAAAAATAACCACAAACACACAACCACGCAACCACAAACACGACCACAAAAACACAATCGCAAACGCGCGTCCTCGAACACACAAACACGCAGCCGCAAGCGCAACCCACAAACACATTCACAAACGCGCAATTATACGAGTACGCAACCACAAATGCAATCACAAACAACCACAAACACACAAACCGCAATCGCAACCACAAACACACAACCGCAACACACAATCCGCGCGCAACCGCAAACAACCGCAACACACAACCGCAACACACGACCACAAAAACACAACGACAAAAGCGCAACGACAACCGTATAATTACCTTTGTGTGGAATTTTGCGGGGCAGGTGGTCTGGGTAGCACTTTTGGATGCCAACTGGAGACCTGGTGACGCCCCGACGCGAACAGCCCGAGGAGCCTTGTGGGGATCATTTGAAGCAAAGTAATTTAGCTCATGTCCATTTCAATATTAGAAAGGTTGTTGAAGTATATCCCGGTTGACTTTCTATTTGCGAAATATGACAGACTTGCTTTTTAGAACTTTTGCAGGTTGAAGCTGTTTAAAATGTTCACATATCAACAACAAAATAGAAAACTTTGCATACATATTTACACACATACATATATACACGACATATATACAAATCTATTTACATTAACGTGAAACAGAATACCAAATCTCTATTATTGTAGCTTTCAACATGATAGCTTTGTTCAGTGTATATGTGTGGTTTAACAATTTCCAGGCTCCAAAAATTGGTTGTCAGTTCTGACACGTTGAGGATATACAGGTAGCCATTGGTTTTTTGAATATGAAGAGTGCAAGAACACGTCGAGTGGGGCCTCCGGGGAGGCAGCAGATATAGGGAGGAAATTCAATGCTTTAGAGGTGATATTTTTCAACTTGGCAGAACTGGTCAATCTGTGTTCGGGCAAAAC